GGACAGAGCAGCACCAAGGTGAGGGTGAGCATCCCTGGTGCTTTGAATAAGAGCAGCTCCCATAGGCTACTGTATTTGAATGCTCAGTCACCAGGGAGTGTCACTGCTTGAGAAGGATTAAGAGGAGGGGGTGGGCTTTGTCCTGTCAGTGAGAGGCAACAGTACAAGAATGAAGAATCCTGTGTTCAAAGGCAGTGGGCAGGAGCTTCTCTCTCTGGGGGAATACAGCTCAGAGGTAGAGCAGACATGTGTCAAGGGCTGCTCTCCTCCAAGTTCTTCCCTCTCTTCCTTCCCTTCACTCACACCCTTCCCTTACCCAGTAAAAACTTCCCACATGGTGTGTTTGTCCCTCACCCACCATGGGATCCACCAAGGTTTCCCTCGTGCTGTATAATAACAGAAACTCACGGTGAACATCCCCTAGTGAAGGACTTACCTGTGCACAGTTAGTAGAACCTAGCACATCGAGGCTTCTTACAGACAGACCAGCTTCGCAATCCGAGTTTGCCCTTTTGCTTTTGCAGTGCTGGAGTTCCCTTCCAGGCTAAGTTAGTACTCATCCTCTGAGCTGCATCCTCAGCCTTGCATTTCAAGTAAAGAAATGTAATCAAGGATGGTATGGTGGTGTGTACCTTTAATCCTAATAGCCAGAAGGCAGGGGCAAGAGGCAAGTGGATTTCTGTGAGTTCAAGTCTGAGTTAAATGAATAAAAAAAGGCAAGTAAAATACTTAAAAATTTTTTTTAAAACAGAGTTTCACAATGTAACAACCCTGTCTGTCCCTCTGTAGATCAAGCTAACTTCAAACTCACAGAGATCCACTTGCCTCTGCCTCCCAAATGCTGGGATTAAAGGTATGCGCCACCATTGCCCAGCTAACTTTTTAAAACAGGTTTTTATTTCTGTTCTGTCCCGATGTGTATGTGATGTACCACATGCATGCAGTGCCCAAGGGTGCTGCAAGAGGGCAGCAGAGCTCCTGGAACTGGAGTTACAGGCGCTTGTGAGCTGCCATGTGAACCCTGGGAACTGAACCTGGATCCTCTGGAAGAGCAGCCAGTGCTCTTAACTGCTGAGCCATCTCTCCAGCCCATCAAGTGAGAAAATTTTAAGAAAAGGTAGTAGAAGATACATTTGTTCATGCACTTGTTGTTTAAAGTACTGTTTTCTTTTTCTTTTTTTTTTTTTTTGGCTTTCTTTCTTTCTTTTTTTTAAGTTAGAAAGAAGCTTGTTTCACATGTCAATCCCAGCTCCCTCTCCCTCCCCTCCTCCCCCACCTAAAGTACTGTTTTCAATCAAGCTGCCAACTGAATGGTTTTGGATCAAATTATGTGCCACTCAGAATGTAGACAAAGGGACATGCAAAGCAGAACACTTATTAAAGACTAAATAAATCAATAACCTTGACCTCCAGCGAGAGTCTTCTTTCTTGCTACTTCCCTCCCCCACCACCTGCACCTCCAGAAGATGGGGGTGGAGGGGTGGGGAGGCTGCTGGCTGTGAGTCTGTCATAAACAAGAGCAGCGTGACCAGCATGCACCACTGCACGCAGGAACAGAACAGCTCCACACGGGACTGGGAACTGGCCAGCCATCAGTTACTGCATAAACTCCATGAGGAAAGACACTAATACAAAGCAGCAACAGCTAAGAGGCTCCAAAACACCTGTCTGCAAAGAGCTGAGGTAATATACAGAGTAATACCAACCCCAGAAGAAAACACCTGTCTGCAGAGAGCTGAGATAATATAAGGAGTAATACCAACCCCAGAAGATATTCTATCTGTTTCAGTAGGAAACCCCTGAGCTTAAGTAACTTGTTGGGTAATTTGTTGCCATGTGACACTTGTGAACAAAGAGGGTTTAAATCCAAACCAGCAAATTCTTGAGTCCTCATCAAAGTTAAAAGGTGTGTGCAGGGCCGGGGAATGTAACTCAGGTGGCAGTGTTGACCTAGCATGCACAAAACCCAGGCTTCAGCCCCCAGCACCACATAAACCAGGTGAGGTGAACTCAGAACTTGAGGTGACCTGTTTGTTACTTAAGCCCTCCTCCCCACAGGCTGACTCTTTGTAAAGGCAGCCTAAGTGAATCAATGCAGCCATTGACACGTCCCTGTCTTCTGTCCTTTGCTGTCTTCCCAATGACCTGCAAGTCATTCTAAAGTCACCAGCTACCATGAAACAACCTGCCTCATGGAGCAGGAGGTAAGGTCACGGGTGCCTGTCACCTCGGTGACTTCATGACACACTCACTGAATTACTGCCTGCACAGAGCCAGAGGTGACATTTACTAGTTCAGGCTACTCAACAAGGCATAGCACTAAGAGACAGAGTTGGCACAATACAAGTTGGGCAACAAAATTCTAAACCACTGTGAGACAAGGTAACATCCAAAGGGCTGAATTTATAATGTAGATCCCCCACAGCACTGCCCGTGTAACCAATTCTGTAACCCAGAGCCTTGAGTCTGGGTGTGTTTGGTGCATTTAAAAACAAGGGCTGGCCTGGGGATGTCACTCAACAGTAGATCTGCTTAGCATAGGTGAGGACCTGGGTTCATTGTCCAGAACCACCAATAACAAAAGGTCAATGGTCCGACTTACATTTTCCCTTACAGTTCCCTAAAAGGGACTCCAGCTGGATGCCAATAGGTGTCAACCTTGTGCTAAGCAGCAGGACACTTATGAAATGGAAGGGTAGGTGCAGAGGGCACAGGACAACTTTACAGACTTTTGCTCCACGCTATGTGGGCTTGAGGATTATACTCAGGTGGCATATATGTGTTCCAAACAACTCCATTCACTGAGACATCTTCCTGGCTCCAGATATTTAAATTTTCATGTTTCTTTTGTTTCCTGTTACTAGAGTTATAAGACTCATTGATGAATCCAGGGCCATGAAAGTTTTGTGTTTTACCTTCTTCTGACAGTTATATGGGTCTTTGATTTGAGTTAATTATCCATATAGTTAAGTAAGGGATTTATACAGTTACATAAGGGGTTGAATCTGATAAAAAATGCATTTTATGCATTATGAAATTGCCAAAGGATTAATAAATATACTATAATCATTTTTTACTGCATTATTCATTTAGTGTGTTTGTAGGAGGGGTAGGTTAGAGAATAAATGTTGTGTGTCTAGTTTTACCATAACTTAGGGCCTGGAGGTTGATCTCTGGTCATCAGACTTTGTGACAAACCTGCTGAGACATCTTTGTGCCTGCTAAGATCTGGAGACCTGCTTGCCTTGTGGACCCCGGGGGAGAAAGGAGAGAGAGGGTAGCCAAGACCTCAGAGCTTCAGTTTGGGGACTTCCAAGAACAGTTTAAAATAGCCTGGTTAAAAAAAAAAAAAAAGAGCCTGGCAGAAACGTGAAGTTTGGAGAGTGATGAGCGCTTGTTCAAGTTCATGCGTGAGAACTGACAGAACAGGTCCCCATACCGCTGGCCGGGTCCAAGTAGACATCAGTCATTACAAATAGGGCAAAGGTCTCACGGAGTGCTGCGCTTTGCAGCTCCGCTCCAGGCTCTGCAGGGGCTTTCCTAGAGACCTCAGTGGCTGGGTTTACATCAGGTGATTTGCCCCTGCGTCATCCTCTGGCCTGTCTCCAAGCAATAACCCCAAGGGCGCTCTTTCTCCCAACTTCCTGGTTATCTGGTGGTGGCCGGGAGCTGGGAGGCAAACTTAACTCCTGTCTGAAGTTGGCCATTAGGTAACTTATTCACAGACACCATCAATGGCCAGCCCCGGCCTATGCTACCTTGGGGAGTATGAGAGAACCCCGGGGTTCTGTGCCAAACGCTTAGTGGTAGAACTAGTTCTACACTCACAGGGGGCTTCTGTGGAGTCGACTGATAAGCTTTCTAAGCCTCGGGAGGTGGGAGAGGGAGTGATGACACAATCTGGGACATGCACCAGAGAGGCCAGCCCCGACGTTTAGTGGACTGGTCCCTGTGTGCTAGCTGAGTCAGACAGCTGAGCAGACCCAAAAAGGCCAGGTGTTAACTCAAGGCTGTGTTCACGCATCCAATGCCTGTCTCCCATAAGGTATTACTGGCACTCGGTTCCTGCTGCGGCCGCTTCCTTCTCTGGTTGCCCAGGTATCCCTTCTCCCCTCTGTAACACCAGACATCCTTCGTTTGAGCTTCATATAAACAAGCTGCTCTGGCAGTTAGCAATCAATCAAGTAGCTGCTACACGCACACTTTTTTCTCCGCCAGCACTAGTCCATTTCCCGTCCTCAGCGCCACCAAGTGTCTACGGTAGGGAACTGCAGTTCTAGAAGCAGCAGGAGGAGAGAGGCAGCCTCTTCTTGTCCCAGGAGCTGAAGTTTCTTGGATGATTTTTCCAACACTAGCAGAACCCGCATCAGTGTAACAAGACACTCACATGACGTTTTAGTAATCCCAACTGTTTTCTTTCGTTCCCCATCTGGCAGTATAGTAGGACCCTGTAGGTACTATCTTAAAAATTTAAAGTTGTTTTATTAATATATGTCTACTTGACGATTGCTCCTATTACACTCTGCGCTGGGGTACAAGATGTGGTTTTGCTCCCTTTTGAATCTTGACTATAGAAACACTTGATATTCGTTGTTTTTAAAAATTCAGCTTCTTTGATTTATTTAGCGAGACTTCCTATCGATATAGTTTCATTAATCCTTGTGACTGTATTGTACTCCACGGTGTAAGCACTCCTTATCTATTTATTTACTATACTGGCTGGTTTTATGTGTCAACTTGACACCAGCTAGAGTCATCAGAGAGGAAGGAGCCTCAGCTGAGGAAATGCCTCCGTGAGATCCAGCTGTAAGGCAGTTTCTCAATTAGTGATCAACAGAGGAGGGCCCAGGCCGTGGTAGGTGGTGCCATCCCTGGGCTGGTGGTCTTGGTATCTATAAGACAGCAGGCTGAGGAAGCCATGAGGAGCAAGCTAGTAAGCTGTGCCTCTCCCTGGCCTCTGCATCAGTTCCTGCCTCCAGGTTCCTGCCTTGACTTCCTTTGATGATGGAGTGAGATGTGGAAGTGTAAGCCAAATGAACCCTTTCCTCCTCAAGTTGCTTTTTGGTCACAGTGTTTCGTCGCAGCAATAGAAGCCCTAAGACAAACTGGTACCACCAGCATCATGTGGGTATTGCTGTGACAGACCTGACCATGTTTTGGGGAGGATTGTGGAAGGACTTTGGAACTTTGGGCTAGAAAAGACGGTGAGTGTTAAGAGTTCAGTTCTTGGGGAGCTTGGAATATAAGAGTGTTGAGAGCAGTTCAGAGGATGGAGGCCTGGCTTGTGAGGTTTCAGAGGGAAGTTTAAAGACTATTGGGGCCATTTGTTATTTTGAATTAAGATCCTGTGGTTGTGGTTAGCTGGGGGCTGAAGAAGCAGCTGTGATTAACAAGATACCAGAACTACTAAAGTGAAACCTTTATGTTACTGGGACAGTTGATGCTGGTCAGCTGTGGCTAAGAAATTAGCAGTGATTTTCCTCTTGAAGCTATTTAATTTAATTTTGATTTTTAAAGGAGTCCCCAGGTGAAATTTGAATTTTAAAAAGAGATTCGATAATTTAAAGAGTAAAATTTTGATGTGTTTGAATTTGTAAAGATTATGGGACTTTTAACATTAATGATTTTAATGTGAGCTCCTGGAAAGGAAGGTTTGTGACTTAACAGTGATATGTTCGTGTGTCAAATTGATAAGGGATCAGTTGTAATGGCTGGTTTTGTGTGTCAACTTGAGACAAGCTAGAGATATCAGAGAGGAAGGAGCCTCAGCTGAGGCAATGCCTTCATGAGATCCAGTTCTAAGGCGTTTTCTCAATTAGTAATGAATTCCTGGAAGGGCCCAGGCCATGGTGGGTGGTGCCATCCCTGGGCTGGTGGTCCTGGGTTCTATAAGAAAGCAAACTGAGAAAACTATGGGGAGCAAGCCAATGAGTAGCACCCCCTCCATGGTCTCTGCATCAGCTCCTGCCTCCAGGATCCTGCCTTGTTTGGGTTCCTGATCTGACCTCTTCAGTGATGAACAGCAATGTGGAAATGAGAGCCAAACAAACCCTTTCTTCCCCAAATTGCTTTTTGGTGTGGTGTTTCGTTTCAGCAATGGAACCCTAACTAAGGCACTTCCTGTGGTAGACTTTAGCTATTGCATACAGTGCTGCTTCAAGTACTTTGCCTATGAATTTGGATGAGAAGATGTGTGCTGTGTTAGTGTGTCTTTGGAGAGGAATCCTTGTGTCACAGTGCAGGTGTGTATTGACTGTAGTGGGTCATGTCACATGGTTTTCCAGAGTAGATGCCACACGTTAACCAGTCCTTGACATGGCAAGCTTTTACAATTGAGTGGGTCTGGCAGAAGGCCATGGTCCAAAGAGTGAGTTTCTGTGTACTAAATCATCTCCGTGTCTTTGTTGGGGTTTTAAAACTAATTAGGCTGTGTTGGGACATGCCTTTAATCCATCACTTGGAAGGGAGAGGCAAGCAGATCTCTGTGAGTTCAAGACCAGCTTGGTCTACAAAGCAAGTTTCACCACCAGGGCTACACAAAGAAACCCTGCCTTGAAAAACAAAAACAGACAAACAAAAAAAAAAAAAAAAAGAAAGGAAAAAAATCATGAAATTAAAAAGTTCCTTACGGCAAAGGACACCATCACACCATCATTTGGACAAAACAGCAGCAGAAAAAAATGGGAAAGGATTTTTACCAATTATATATCTGATAGAGGTTTAACATTTAATATATACATACACATATTTATACATAAAACTAAAAAACAAAACAAAACCCTGAACATCAAGTAAACAACCATAGACAGGGTTTTTCTGTGTAACAACCCTGGCTCTCTTGGAGCTCATTTTGTAGACCAGACTGGCCTTGAACTCACAGAGATCTGCTTGCCTCCTCCTCCTGAGTGCTGGGATTAAAGGTGAGTACATTTGCACAGTGGACTATTATTCAGCTGTTCGAGAAAATGAACTTATAAGGTTTGTAGACAGGTGGATGGAGCTAGAAACAGTCATCCAGGAAGACAAATATAGGGAGAGACAACTCTAACGCTAAAGGTGGTTTGAAAAGCCATGTGGAAGCTTACCACTGTAGAAGCTTCCAAAAACACAGACATATACGAGAGGAATCTAAATGGTGTCACCAAAAGATAGGGGAGACAATGCCACTAAGCAAAACCTCCAGTGCCTGGGATGGGTTCAAGTCTCCAGCCCTTCTCCGAAGGGACCTCATAGAACCCCCCAGGCATCACAGGCTAGTGCCAAGACTACCGGCTACTCTCTACCACCTACACTAAGGCCTGGTTGTCTTTGTGAAAACAACACTTAATGTCGTCCAACACAGAGAAACTGAGCTGACCAATTAGAAGCTTCATCCCTCCCGACTGGTGTTCATGGTTCTGGAATGTGCTGTGCACACTGCTAGAGGAGAAAGGTGATCATCAATGTCGCCGAGCTACAAACCCTGTGGCCTACAACACTGACCTGCTTGAGAGAGATACCGGCGCAATAGCGACACCACTATTATGAGGGTAACCACCCACTTTTTCATTAGACTTAAGCCCTACTCTGTGAAATGGACCCCACGCCTGCCACTGCTAAAGTGTCAGTAACCTGAGACTAACTAGGTCACTGGCTGCGGGAAGCCTACTATTATTCTACTAAAGGAGCAGAGCAATAACATTTCTCCTGATGAAGTACTGCTATGCCCATAGATGAATACCTCATTCAACCCACGTCAGAGAAGCTGCTGCTTGCAGTAGGTGGGGATTAATGCTGAGACCCACAATTGGACAATGTGCAGAGTACAAGACTTTGGATCCCTCGTGCCTAAATGGGATGTTTTCACCAAACCCCCCTGCTTTCAAGGCTCAGAGCTATGCAGACTGGAAGTGCCAGAGTGATGGATGTGTCCAAGGAAAACCGAGTCTTCCAGACACAACAGGACAGCGCATGCATGCACTCACAGAGACTTGAGCCAGCACACATGAAGCCTGCGCAGGGTCAAGCCAAATGGGGTCCCAGCCCTGGGAGGGGTAAGTGGGCACAGGGTCCCACTTCTAAGCAAAGAGCTATCTGCAACTGATACTTGCTGGCAAAGGGAAAATCTGTTTTCTCTAATGGAGCACCAATGAGTATATTAACCATACTTCAGGGCAGGCTCCATGCCAGGTGAAGCTGGCTAACACAAAACAAAATTATATTTTTGTGGAGTTTTTGTTTCATTTGCTTTGTTTTGGCATTTTTTTCTTATTGGTGTCTCTTGCTTGTTAATTTTGATTTTTCATTTTTATGTGTTTTTTTTTAGGGAATTGCTTCTTGAGAGAGAAAAGGGGCATAAAATTGAATGGGTAGGGAGATGGGATCTGGGAAGAATTTGGGGAAGGGTAAAAAAGTCAAAATATGTCATGAGATTTTTTTTTCAATTAAAAAATGCTAAAAATATAAATTCTCCGTGCCGTCTCACAGCAGAAGACAGTTCGCGCCACCTAGTGGCCACATTGTTAATCTCCCGCATCCCCCGCTCAGCTGTGTGGGCCTTCACGGGGCCTTTGGAGCAGTAACCCTTGCTGGGCTTCCTGGTTTGGGGTTCCTTGGGTCCCAGGTTTTGAAGCACACTCAGCTGTGTCCTGCTGGGGCAGGGCTTCTATGAGTTGAGTCCCTGATCCTTAACTGTCTCTGCTTGATTGCGAGTGGAGCCAGCTTGCCGTCAGACACTTGCTTTCCCTTGGGATGTCACAGTTGTTTGTGTTTATGACTCCAGTAAACGTCTCTTGTAGAGAATTGAGAAAATTGCTGGCTTTAATATAAACTGGAAAGGCAAGGACCTAATTCCATAAGCCTGCTTCTCTATAAGATGACTTTCTAGTGATGTGTTAGAAATGAGGAGGGTGAGGTGAGGCAGGGGGAGGGCACCGGGGTTATTAGTCTTGCTGAGCAGCCTGGAAGCTCTATTCCAGCTTCCTGGTGTTAGCAAGAACGGGGAGGGGCTGGATGTGCCTTATGCCTGAGGAGAGCTAGAGATCATTTGTATTTGGGTATCTCCACAGAATAAAAACTAGTGTTTGTCTTAACATTCTTTCGCAAAGTTCTGACAACTTGAAATGGTTTCAACCGAGACAATTCTGTCTGCAGAAGAAATGGTTCCTGTGTTCTCAGAGACTCTGACTTCATTCTTCACACCTACTGTGGTGTGAGCCAAGTGTTGCAGCATCCACTTCTGCTCATGCATGTGAGAGCATGTGTAAATGTGTGTGTTAGTGTGTGTGCGTTTTCTTATCCAAGATGCAGACAGTCCAAGACTACAATGTATTACTCTACATTCTAAAAAATTACAGTCAACCATAACAAAGTAAATAACAGGACAGGGAAGGGGAGTTGCTCAGTGGTAGAGTTGGTGCTTAGTAGATAAGACTCTGAGCTCAACCCACAGTACCAGAGAGGGTTAGAGCACAGGAGAGAGCTTTCTCAGAGCCGGTGAAGGAAACATGGGCATGGCAAAGGAAACTATGGGCATAGTGAAGGAAGTGAAGACTTCTGGATGCTTATGGGTTTCTCTTTCAAGATTTCAGAGGTTGGTATTTTACATTAATATACACAGAAGCAAAGCTTGAATAGATAGCAGTTTAGTGAAACATAAGAAATGCCAGCTGTCTTACTAGCTGTGTGATCTTGGGAAATTTACATGCCCAGCTATGTCACTTCCTGTCTGTCTGTACAGACCTCCAGACCTCTATGGTTAGCTAGTGGCAAGCTCCATTCTCTGACCCCTCAGACAGGCTTTATTTGTGCGAGAATGATATCACCACAGACAATTGTGTAAGAGTCTAGGGACTTGGGTATGGTTATATAGAGGCTTGTTTCCACAGTACACATTACAGAAATGAAGTTCATTCCCTTCTAATTTTAGATGACATTTATTGAGCACTTATTTGTACCAGTTACTTTTCTCATTGCTGAGACCAAATACCTGATAAGAAGCAACTCAAGGGACCTGGGGAGACGGCTCCGTGGTTAAGAGCACTGGCTGCTCTCCCAGAGGACCTGGGCTCAATTCCCAACCCTCACATGGAAGCTCACAATTGTCTATACCTCCAGTTCCAGGGGATCCAACATCCTCATACAGACACACACATGCAACCCAAACACCAATGCATGTAAAACAAAATAAACATATCATCCTTAGAAAGAGAAGCAACTTAAGGAA